ACACACACACACACACTCACAGAATCATGTAAACCTCTGTTTCTTCTCCTGCAGCTGAGGAAGCTGACTTCGTACCGTGGCGACGCCTCTAAGCTCTCATTGGCTGATTCCTTCGTCTACCTGCTGGTTCAGTTGCCCAGGTGAGACGTGACCTCACATCTGACCTTTGACCTGATCCGTGTGTCGTCAGTGAAATGAATCACTTCTTTTATTTTTCTTCGCCCCCTACTGGCTGCAGGAAGTTGTTGCTTTCAGGGATAAAAGCCACAAAATTCCAAACATTGATTGTTTGTGACTCAGAAGGTCGAGGCCTCTGTTTTCTGCCTCGTCATGATGGAGCTCCTGATCGCGACCTTATGCTTCATGACATTTGATGAAAGACATGTTGATAACACAAGGTGGCGCCAGAGACTGTCGGAGAGGAGCAGAGGACATTTTTCTTCTGTCAAAAACTAAAAATTGTTCATAGTTCAAATAACTTATGAACCTTTAAGAATGATTTTGTTCATGTTTCTACATTTAGAATCTTTAGAATATGTTGTGTTGACGGTAACGTCAGATTTATGTATTTATTACACAGTCTCAGTACTTTGATCCTTTATTGAAGTTTATTTTCTCAGAACCGTGTGAAAGATTTTTATAAAAGTTAAAAACAGAGCGAGCAGCTTCTGCTTCACATCGAATAGAGCTCAAGCTTTTTTCTGATGAGAGAATGAAAGGTTGATGATGACAAACTTACAGACACGTGCTTTTATTTTCTTCTTCTCATCAGTTTGTTCTGACTCTGTTGGGATGTGGATTTATTTCTGTCTCTAGTTACTCGGTGCGGATCGAGTCCATGCTGTTGAAGGAGGAGTTTCCTGCAGCGTGCGACTCCATGAAACAAAATATTTGCATCCTTCGTTCTGCCACCAAAGGTAATGACACTGTTCTCTGTGTGATGTAACACAAACAAACACACAAACAAACAAACAAACATTTCTTTCTCAGCAGAAGTAATGATGAGTAAAACTGAAATAAAATAACAAGAAGAAACATTAGTATACAGCAAAACACACACACACTCACACACACTCACACACTCACACACACTCACACACACACACACACACACACTCACACACACTCACACACACACACACTCACACACTCACACACACTCACACACACACACACTCACACACACAAACACATGCACACACACACTCACACTTGTCACGACATAAATCAACACTGTGTCTATTTTTAGCTGTGTGAGTGTGAACTTGATAATTGCCTGAATTGTTAGCGAACCCACCACATGTTATCACACACACACATACACACACTCACACACACACCACTCACACTCACACACACACATACACACACACACACAGGTATGTCAGGATTACAAACTGCTGATTGTGTGTGAACGTGTCTCTGTCTCTTCCTGTCGTTGAACCTTTGTGATGATTTGTGTGTTTTTGCTGCAGAGTTGTTGACGTGTGACGAGCTTCATGTCGTTCTTCACCTGGTTCTTCAGGCTGGAAACATCCTCAACACAGTGAGTCATCAAACAGAGTTCAACTACAATCACTGCGGTTGTGTTCCAGATTCATATGAGGTCACTGTGACCTTTGACCCTCAAATCTCTTCATCATTGAGTCCAAGTGACCATCAAAAGTTGAAATAAAAAGCACTGCAGTTCACCTGCTCCACCCATAGGGGCAGAAGACAACCTGAAAATGTGCAGGTGTGTGATTGTGTGTCATTGTGTTGTTGTGTGTTACAGGGAGGCTGTGCAGGAAACGCTGTCGGCTTCAAACTGTCGTCTCTCCTGACTCTGGGCGACACCAAGGCCAACACACCAGGCATGAACCTGCTGCACTTTGTCGCCCTGGTCAGTGTGTGTGTGTGTGAGAGTGTGTGTGAGTGTG